GGGGGGGGGGACGCCCAGCGGCCCGCACCACTGGGTGTGCTGGATTCGACCGCACCGTGATCTCGAAGATACACCGGAGCGGCCGCCTACCGACTAAAAAACTCCCCCTTGTCCTAGCATTATATCAAAGCATACGTGGGAACACCCCGGAACCGCCTACAGGCATTACGTCAGGGTGCCCCCAAATGCCACGGGATGATGCCCACCGCACATGCGGGAACGCCTACTTACAAACTAAAACTCTATTAATATATACAATATTTACAAAAAATATCCATACCAACCGCTACGAGTAATCAGAGTCCCCCGAGAGAGATGGAGGTACAGGCGGATGTATCACCCGGGCCCTCCGATCCCTCTCGCGGTCTCTCTCTGCCTTCTGGGGTCTGGCCAGTGAAAAGATCAGGAAAAGGTTGCTGGGAGAACAACAGTAGTTGTATGCCAAGGCAGTGGAGATTAGTACATGCATGGAGATGGCAGAATGTGAAGCTGCAGACATGGGGAATGCGGCGAACAGCAAAGGAAGCGCACTCAATTTTATGGATAAGAAAAATAAAAATTAACAATTCAGGAGCATATAACCAACCTTCGATGTCAAGAAGTCATATATTCTAATAAACACATACATTCGTAAACGTTTCGGTCAACATTTGACCATCCTCAGTACAATTCTAATAATAACATTACATTTAAATCTGAAATCTATCCCTAGTATTCTTAATCTTAAAACGCACAACATTCGCTTATTCCTACTTATTATATATAAAAGTATCGCTTTTTTTAAAAAAGGTATGCAGTTTAAACAATAATTTTACACAATGTATTTAGCATTATTATACTAATGTTCAGTTTTTAATTTATAATTAATGTATGGAATTCAATTCGGTATGATTTCTGTTGAATTAATGTTATGTAGTTGAGATTTCTTCTTGAATTGACCAAATTTGTGTATGAACCCGAGAACAAGTCAAGTTTATAATATTTCTGGAACTCTCTCCTGTTCCAACACCCATGATAAGCCGCAACCGGGAGACACGCAAGTGGTCATTTCTACGTGAAAGTAAATGACTATTTGAGATTAATTTAATTTTAAGCTATTATACTTGTGTTATAGTTTAATTACGTTCATTTTTTTTTTAAATTATAATTTAGATTCCATTCTTAGTTTACCGAGATTACTTTTTTTCCCAGCCGAAAAGAAACGAAAAGGAAAAGAAAAAGAAAAAAGGAGGCAAAGAAAAGGAACCATATAAAATTAGAAAACTTACGCGTATCTCACTGTACAGCCTCACACAGATATTGGACACTTACACGTTCTTAACAATAGAAAATTTACATTAGAAATGACGAGAGTTCGCCTTTGGTCTATTTATACTTTTCGCAAGGAGAGGGTAGGGGAAGGAGAGGGGGAGAAGAGAAATTGTATAAGTGGGAATAGGAATTATTGTTTTAGAAGAGGGAGGTAAACGTCTGGAAAACGATCGGTATCACTCTGCTTATTCAAGACCTCTGTTTGCATTTTTATGTAAATCATTTCCGAAATACTTCTCTTGTAAAAGGATTGTTCAGAATCTAAAATTTCCGTGTTTTCCCAATCCATAACATGATCGTTATTTATTCGATGATTTGAAATCACGGAAAGCGCCTCGACCGGTTTTTTTATATCGTTCATATGTTCTTTTAATCTTGTTTTCAGTTTCCGTTTGGTTTGCCCTACATATGTATAATTGCAATCTTTGCAGTCTATTTTATAAACTACCCCAGAGTGCTCTTCTTTATTAATCTTGTCCTTACCTAACGTAATAAATTTGTTGAGGTTGTTTAAGGGTTTGTAAACCGGTTGGAAATTATATTTTTTTTAAATTCCATTAAATTTTCCTGATGTCTTTTTTAAAAAGGGTATAGTAAAATATTTTTTCATTCCCGTTGATTCCAAATCAAAGATTTGATCCATTTCTTTTATTGTTTCAAAGTTATTTTTGTTAGAAAGTTTTTTAATTCTATCTTGGATAGTCTTGAATAACATTTGCAAGGGATATCCGTTGCTGAGGAGAGAGTTTATTAAGGATTCTATGTTAGTCTGTTGTGTGTGGAATTTAGGATGCGATAGAAACAAAACTTTATCCACCAAACCCGTCACTACACCCTTTTTTTGTGAGAACGGGTGGTTTGAGAAAAAATTGAGAAATCTACCCGAATTTGTTGGTTTTTTGTACAAATCAAATATGACGTTACCATCATCATACATTAATTTTACATCCAAAAAATTAATACCAAACTCATCACCATGATCAACCGTAAATTTTATGCGTTCGTGAAAAAGAAAAATGGTAATCTGTTATTGTTGCGGAAAAAAGGGTCACGTATCGAAAGACTGTCGTTTTAAGAGTTATGCATGTAACGCGTACGGAAAAAAGGGTCATTTAGAGATTGTTTGTAAAACTAAAGTATTAAGTAAAGAAAAGAAAGGTAATAACCAGAAATATAAAATGAGCGTTAAGACTAAAAATGTAGTTAAGAGTCCGAATCATTATATATAAGAGTCCGAAAACAGTAATGAGAGCCTAAATAACGTGTTTTATAGTAACGATATAGATAATAGTAAAATGCTCGGTAACATACAATCACTGAAAGTAAGCCTGAAGGTAAGAAATAAAGTACTAGCATTCGAAATTTATACAGGATCGCCGATTTCTGTAATATTAAAAAGAGATTTTGATAAGTTTAAGCTGTTTGGAAATGGGATACTGAATAAAACTACGCGTAATTTTAGAACATAACCGGGGACCCGATAATCCCTCTCGGTACTTTAAAGGTTAAGGTAGAATTTCAGAATAAAAAACGGGAACTTGAATTATTTGTTTTATCAGGCATCTATTATAGGTCGAAATTAGCTTTAAGCCCTAGGTATTGTTCAATTCAATAAATTGGTAGAGAAGCTATCAGTTAATGCAACGAAGAGCCTAATGACATTTGTAAAAGGTTCGAGTCACTTTTCTAGAAAACTGGGACATTATACCAAAAAAAATTTAAGTTTTTGCAAAGAGAATGTCAGTCCAGCAAACCAAGGCCGGTGCCTTTCGCGTTAAGAGAGAAAGTCAAAAAAGAGATTGATCGTTTAATAGGAAAAGGAGTTCTGCAAGCGGTTGAAAATAGTGAGTGGGCAACGCCTATTGTACCAGTTCCGAAATCGAACGGTCAAATACGTTTATGCGGAGATTATAAGGTGATACTTAATCCGCACTTACTGATAGATAAGCATCCAATTCCGAGTGTCAAATTTACTTAAAATTACGTGGTGGTACGATATTTACAAAATTAGATTTAGCGCAGGCCTATCAGCAGGTAGAGTTAGATGATGAATCAAAATCGTTAATCACGATAACAACTCATAAGGGTTTGTTTAGAAGTAATCGTTTGGGTTTCGGAATAGCATCAGCGCCTGGTTTGTTCCAACGCGAAATAGAAAAGATCTTACAGAACTTGGACGCAATATTCTTCGATGATTTAGTTATTACAAGAACTACCAGGGAAGAGCATGATCAAAATGTAATGAGAGTATTACAAAGATTATAAGATTATAGATTAGTTTTAAGTAGAGATAAATGTGCATTTGCGCAAAACAGTATTGAATTTTTAGGATTCGAGTTAAGCGCCAAGGGCATTCAAGCTTCAAGCAGGAAAGTTGACATAATTTTGAATATTAAAAAACCCGAGAATATTACAGAGCTCAAGTCATTTTTTATATGTGTTATATCCCGACAAAACCCTCTATCTTTTTATTATAAATATTGTACATCCAAAAAATTAATTCCAAATTCATCGCCATAATCTACCGTAAATTTTATGCGTTCGTGGTAAGCATTGAAGGAATTCAAGATGTTAGTGATTTGATTAGAAGGCGCTGCTAATAAGATATCATCCACATACCGATAATACACAGGTATGTGAATGGTAAGTGTATTAATATAAGATAAATCTATATAGATTTAGTTCTTGACGGCATCCAAAATAGATAGCAACTTATAAGAAAAGAAACTTTTTTATATTTAAAAGAATTCATCAAAGAAATCAAACTGATATTAGATTCTACATTTTTCAATCTTAATGAAAAAATTTATAAACAGATCTTTGATATTCCAATGAGTTCCCCATTGTCCGTAATAACATCAGATATTATGCAAGACCTAGAGATAGTTTCTCTTAAAAAACTATCTGTGATTCCTTTTATATTCGCTATGTGAATACTTTATATCGCCATTGCAATCAACAAAAATCATGTTCTGATCGATGTATTTTAATTTCTATCATCCGAGATTAAAGTTCACGCTTAAAGAAAGTGGAGACTCATTGAATTTTTTGGACATCACACTAATTAAAAATGATAACACATTTACTACAAATTTATATCGAAAATCACTCAGGACGATAATCAATTTTTTTCTTTTATCACTCACTATGTCAAAACATTGGAATCATAATAAACTTAATTGATCGTTGTTCTTCTTTTATCTCATCCAAAATTCTACTCAAAACACTTTGATATCATTAAAATCCTTTTAAAAAAATAGATATCCTTTAACGCTAATTTTTTCTATTATTCAGAAAAAACTTTATAAAAAATTCACATTGCTAAACAGTCAAATACTATCCCACAAAATTTGATCAATAAAAAAGCAGAAGATAATATTGGGGGTATAAATAAGTTTCCGCCGTTTGACCAACAATGGCGCTACCAGTATGTTATAGTTAAAATTGTCAGCTGTAAAACGTCATATCGTAAGGTTGGACATCTGGTAAGAACATAACCTTGAAATATTAGTGATTTTGCATCACCATCTTATATCTTTTTTCGTGCGAAAATGTCGAGTTTTGAGCCGAATAAGCATCATTTGCGGGAGCTTTTGATTTACTTCTTTAATTTGAAGAAATCTGCAGCTGAGGCGCATCGATTGCTTGTAGAAGCATATGGTGAGGCTGCCTTAAGTGAGAGAAGTTGCCGTGAGTGGTTTCAAAAGTTTAAGAACGGTGAATTTGACGTCGAAGAACGTAGCGGAAGGCCGAAAGTGTACGAAGACGCGGAATTGGAAGCATTATTGGATGAAGATTCGTGCCAAACGCAAGAAGCACTTGCACTTACATTAGGAGTGACTCAACCAGCAATTTCACATCGCTTAAAATCGTTGGGAATGATTCAAAAGCAAGGAAATTGGGTTCCATATGAACTGAAGCCGAGAAACGTTGAACGCCGATTTTTCACATGTGAAATGCTGCTTGCCAGGCATAAACGAAAGGGTTTTTTGCACCGTGTAGTCACTGGTGATGAAAAATGGATCCACTACGATAACCCAAAGAAGAAGAAATCATGGGGACCACCTGGCCATGCTTCAACATCGACAGCCAAGCCGAACATTCATGGGAAAAAGCTCATGTTGTGTATTTGGTGGGATCAGCTAGGTGTCGTTTATTATGAGTTGCTCAAACCGAACGAAACCATTACTAGGGCTCTCTACCGAACACAATTGATGAGATTGAGTCGAGCACTCAAGGAAAAACGCGCCCACTACTACTCCAGACACGACAAAGTTATTCTTCTGCATGATAATGCTCGTCCACAT